AAAAAAAAAAAAAAAAAAAAAAAAGTTGTATCTTTAAGTTAAACTAAATGCTAAATAAAAGAAATCAGGAACTTGTGCTTCCCAAATCCTCACATGCTCCAAAAAAAGGTTACAATCAACAAAAGGAATAAAATGACACAGATCCCAAGCCTACAGTGTAACCAAAAGACAGAGAATACTGCCCACTTCAAATTGCTATAAACACAAAAATGAACACCGATCTCCCGCACCCTCTCCAAGCTACTGTAGAGTGGTGGGGGTAGAGAGGGGAGCGCGGAAACAGTGCATGGAAGAGAGAGGAAGAAAAGAAAAGTCACTTCTAGAAAGACCACCTTAAGAGAAAAAAGTACTGAGAAGAATCCTCGAAGATAAGAGCACTGACTACAAAGAGAAGAATTAAGAATGTATCAGCCTCCAAGTCGCAGTCCAGACTGGCCACATTTCTAAGGGAGAAGAGGGTTAAAAAAAAACAATGTCCCTTTTGAAGACTGGATAATGTAGGAAAAAAGAAGAGAGGAAATTTAAGATAAAGAGAACTAAAAAAATGTTTTGAATAAAACAGCTCCCGACAACGTCCCACTCCAAAAAAGCCATCTCTAAAAAAAAATGCACTTTGCCACACTGACAGAAGAGGGCAATCTTGAATTTCATAATGAGAGAATTGTGTAAACCATCACAAACTACCAATCTTCCTCTCAAACTGCATACATTTAAGTAATCTCCATCTATATGAAGCTACTCTAAGACTAAAAGAGGAAACAAGAACCAAAACATTACCATAAATGAAATCTCCCCAAACAACCAACTACCAAACAGAACAAAACTGTAACACAACATTCAAGCATTTGGGGATACGAAAGAAACACCATGAATTTAAAATTCAAAAACTAAGAACAACATCAACAGACAACAAACATGAAGGAATGAAATAAGATATAATTAAACTCTAGAAAGAAAAGGAAGGGGGGGAAATCCTATCGGAAATGAAGACTAAATTATAAGATGCCTTGAGGAAAACATATTCAAATAAAAATTTAATAAGGGGCACAGAAGAAAGGGAGAGAAAAAAAAACAAGAGAACAGAAATGAGACCAA